GGTTTTTCAACAATCAAATTATATCAATCAACATTTGAAATGCCTCGCACGAGGACCATTACGACATGTTAGGTCATATAAAGGATACTTTGTCAATGGATACAAGTTTCATACTGAAAAATATGGTGATGGACGGGTCACACACAATAGTGGTGTATGTGTAAGAGGTACTTGTTACAATGAGACTGAGTGTGACTATTATGGGTTGTTGGATGAGGTCTTGGAAGTAGAATATCAAGGCATAGGGCGTTGTGTCAGTATTGTTCAAGTGTACATGGTTTAACCCTACTGAAGGGGTACGTGTGGATCGAAAGCATAATTTGGTTGATATTAAATACAAATCAAGGCTAAGAAATGAAGATCCGTTTATCCTAGCGTCACAAGCAGAACAAGTGTATTATGCACCATATCCTGCAATGAAGGATTTGAAAGATTGGTGGGCTGTCGTCAAGACAAAGCCAAGGGGTGTATATGATCTACGACAATGTGTTACTGAAGAAGATGATGATGAGGATGAAGAGGACCAATTCTTTCAAGAAAGTGAAGCGACTTTACCTTCTACAAGTAGCGGTGCAAATGAGGTGGCAGGACCCCTTTCTCATGTAATTGAAGGAGAAATAGAAGAAGTTAATGACAATGACATTGAGAGAGAAGAGGATGAAGAAGTTGATGATAACTTGGATGATTCATCCGAAGATGATATTGAAGATGAAAACATATGTGATGATAATTCTGATGATGAGTAATTACTAAAAATGTAGAACGAAACAATGTATTTGGAACTATATATTTTACCTAATGGACCTTATAAATAACTTTTTAGCTAAAATGATCGTTTTCTTTTTCTATATACATTGCACTTTCATTTATTTGTGTATTATAGCATGTTACCTTCTCTTACTTCTATAATTTTCTATTATAATACATACTTATTCTAACCAATAGTTTATTAATTCTTGATTTTAAGGGTTATTTTTTGACTAATGGCGCAACGAGGAGCCCGTGGTGGTGGTCGCAGTGGTAGTCACATTAGTGGTCGTGATGCTGGAGATAGAAATGCATCCCAATCATACAATGATGCAGAAAGTCAACCTTCTTCTTCAGTTAGAGGATCAAACATCTTAGAACAAGTTCCAAGTAACCCATCAAAAAGGAAGTTCATTGAAGTCGATTCTGAAAAGGAGTACTAAAGTTAATTTTACAATTGTTTATGAAAATGAATTTACTTGTTAATGATAATACTAATGCTAATTTTTTAATTTTTAATTTTTTGCAAGATTTACGGATCAGATTTCAGTGATCAGAGCCATCACATGTATACTGAAGACGATGTTTGACGGCCCATGGACCTCATGGAAGAAGGTTGACAAAGAACATCGTGATGCAATGTGGGAACACTTCAAGGTTTGTACTTATTATTTTTATGATTTATCAAAGTAAAAATTGGTATAAAGTGAAAAAGATAATTGTATGCGTGATCTACATGTAGGGTTTGTATGTTTGGCCCGAAGAGACTGATGTTCTTGCTCGCAAGGTATGGGAAGACTGTATGAAGAAACGATTTCCTGACGTAATGCGAAGAGCACGTGAAGCATCTTTAAAACTTGCCAAAGCTGCAAATGTGAATGCCTCACTAGAAGGTGATTTAAATTTGCTAAAGGACTATCGCCCAAATTGGATAAAAAAGGAGTATTGGGAAAAAATGATCAATGAAGTGTGGACCACATCCAAATGGAAACGTTTATCACAATCAGGGAAAAATAACAGAAATAAATTAGAAGATGGCTCTATTTCCAAACATACCGGGGGTTCTATATCTATTCGTCAACATAAGAAAAGAATGGTAAGATGTTTGCATCTCACGTTAGTTTCCACTTAGATTGTTGAGTTTTTGTTTTGTTTTTTAATGTATTACTAATGGATTTTGTAGCAAGCAATTCTTAAACGCCCTCCTACAGGAGTTGAACTTTATGCAAGGTTGCACACTAAACGGTCTACTCAAGAGTACATTACACCAAAGGCAGCTAAAGTTAAGGTATTTTCAATTCTTTTGTAGGAAACAAAACTTCCTACTACTCGGGTTAATGACTTTGTTAAAGCAACTAATTGACAGAAAACAAATCTTTCGTAAGTAGTAATCAACTAAATGTTTGATCCTCTGCCTAGTTGTAATTAAGTGTTTTGTAAGTAGTAATCAACTTTATGCAAGGTTTGAGTATTATGAATTTAATGGGATGGAATGAACCATTCTATTCCTTATTTCATGTTACTATTTTTTCATATTTTTTTTTTGCTATAATAGGAGGCTTATGAAAGTGCTATGGTGGCTAAGTTTGGTGATGATACTAGTTGCCACCCCCTCTTGGATAATGAAACATGGTGTGATGTTTCCGGAGGAGTCAAGAAAGGAAGAATATATGGATTCGGATTTGTGTCTGATCCAGCGAGCTTTTTGGAAGGAACATCTAGTACAATAACATCCCAAGAGGTTCGTTTAATTTTGTACTTTATAAAAATTTCCTATCATAGCATTGTACTTACAAAGTTTCCTATCATGGCATTGTACTTGCAAAGTTTCCTGTCATGGCATTGTACTTACAAAGTTTTCTATCATGGTATTATACTTACAAAGTTTCCTATCATGGCATTGTACTTACAAAGTTTCCTATCATGGCATTGTACTTACAAAGTTTCATCATGGTATTGTACTTTAGGTTGTCTATGAACGTGTACGAAACGAGATGCGTGGCGAAATGGATGCTAAAGCTGCAGAAATGGAAGCTAAACATCAACAAATGCGTGAGGAAATGGATGCCAAAGC